AAGAAGTTAGGGGAAGGGGGAGAGAAAGTAATAGAGGAGATGAATGCAGTCAAAGTACGTTCTGTGTGTGTGTGTGTGCGCGTGTGTGTATGTGAGAATAGCACAATGAAAGCCCTCATTTTGTGCAATTAATGCACACTAATCGAAATGGTTTTAAAGATTTTAAAAGGAGCTGGCATGATGGCTTACGTGGTAGAGCACCTGACTAGCAAGCTTGAAGCCCTAAATTCAAACTCCAGTGCCTTTAAAAGCGGGGGGCGTGGCCTTGCAAGAGGACATTAGGTCATTGGGGGCGGGTCTTGGAGGGCAGTGCTCTGCTGATTGGAGACAGAACCCACTGACTCCGCCCCACCCTCCCGCCAGTCCCATCCATCAGGAAGTGAGGCAGCCCGGGTCCCTCCCAGGCCTGCTGTACTGTTTGATCTTCCAGCCTCCTAAACTGTAAACCTAATTAACATCTCTCTCTCTTTTTTCATACATAGCCTGAGTTAAAGATGTCACCATGGTAACAAAACGGTGACTGACAGATACCCTGAAGGAGAATGCGTGTAAAGTGACGTCCTGAGACATGACTGCATACACAGGTACCACTCTACTGTGATGTAAGCCTTGATTCTAGAGCCACATCGTCTTCTAGAACTTTCTGCAGTGGTACCAGCCCCAGGGGGCTATTGGCGTAGCTGTAACAAAAGACCACAAACCAGAGATGTGAGAAAATACAGTGTATTCTCTGAAAGGGTTGGGATTACAAATCTGCAGTCAAGGTGTCAGCAGGTCTGGTTTCCTTCAGGAGGGTTTGCAGAGAGTCTGTTTCCCTTTTTTCAGTTTCTGGAGGCCATCTGCATTCCTTGGCTTGTGGCGCCTTCCTCTGATCACATCTGTCACTGGCTCTGATCTCTTGTGTCCATCTTTAAAGGATCCTCGTGGTGGTCTTGGGCCCACCAGAGCAATCATAAAGAATCTCTCCATCTCAGCATCCTTAATTTAATCATTTCTGCAAAGTATCTTTTTTCACATAAGGCTCTCAAATTCACCGTTTCGGGGGATTAGGGTATGAACCTTACTGGAGCCACCATGCTGCGGGCAACAGGGTCTGAGAAGCCAGGGTGTGAGTGTGTCCTCCAGTGGAGAGCAGTCTCGAATGCCAATGCCAAGCTTGGGCATGGCCTTTCCTTCATGATATGTGGTGGTACTCACTCTTGTAATCCCGGCTATCTCAGGAGGCAGAGATCAGAAGGATTACAGTTTGAGGCCAGCCGGAGTAAATAGTTCACAAGACCCTATCTTGAAAATACCCAACACAAAAAAGGCCTGGTGGAGTGGCTCAAGTGGTAGAGCACCTGCCTAGCAAGTGTAAATCCCTGAGTTCAAACCCCAGTGCCACCAAAAAACAAAAACCATCCATAATCTATCAGCCTCCCTTTTACTCTGACCCAAGGCACCCTCACCTCTTGCTAGGACTATGGCAGTAGCCTCCCTACTGGACCTCTTGATTTCCCCCCTCATTGTCTAATCTCCACCAGCAAGCAGAGGGATCGTATTAAAATTTAAGTGGAATTGAGACATTCCTCTGCTCAGAGTAGGGATGTCTAGTTTAGAAAATAAAAATACAGGATGCCCAGTTAAATTTGAATTCCAGATAGACAATAAATAACTTTTTTGGTGGGACTGGGGTTTGAACTCAGGACCTTGCCTTTACTAAGTGAGTGTGGCACTACTTAAGCCATGCCCCCGATCTTTTTTTTTTTTTTCTGTTTTTCAGATAAGGTCTCACATTTTTGCCAGGGACAGTCTTGGACCGAGATCCTCCTACCTCTGCCTTCTGAGTAGCTGGGATTATAGGAATAAACAACAAATAGTATTTTCATATAAGTATGTCCCATCATGGGCAAGTGCTCTACCACTGAGCTACTTCCTTAGCCTGCCTCAGAGCTCTTGCATGTGCTGTTCCCTCTGCCTGGAACAATTTTCTCCCAGATTTAAGCCTGATTCCTCTCTCCCTTATTCAGGTTTTGGCTCACATATCACCTTTCCTGAGGGCCCTTGCCTGGCTGACACATACTGTCCCACCCAGCCTTCTTTGTCCTCTTTAGGCTTTGTAGCACTTATCACCTTTGATAAACTCCATAGTCCTTTGTTTGATTACTCATTGTCTGTCCCAAGGGCAGGATTTATATCTGTTCTCGTTACTGCTATACTCCACTGCCTGTTACCTCAGGGCCTTGCACAGAGCAAGTGTGTAATGAATGCTTGTCAAGTGAAGAATAAAACAGAGATCATGAAGTCCCTAGATCCAGCTATGCACTACATGAAATGAGCTAGGAGATTTGAACCCAGTGTCCCTCTCTCCTACACCTCCATCTCTGACACCAGGTCATGGCTGGTGGATTTCCTGCTTACCACACTTTCCTTCTGGTCCTGGGGCTCCCTCAGGGCCCAGTGACAGGCAGCTCGCAGTGACCTGCAGAGCTGAGCCCGCCCAAAATACAAGAAGATCATGGGGTTGAGGCAGCTGTGAGCCAAGGCAAGGCCCACGACCAAAGGCTCAGCCCTCAGGGCCCGGGCCAGGAGCACCGAGTTGGGGGCAGCCAAGGTGAGCACCAGCCCCAGCAGGTGGTAAGGGGCCCAGCAGACAAAAAAACCCACCACGACGGCTGTGCTCAGACTCCAGTAGCTTCGGGCCACTCGTCTCAGGAGCACAATATGACAGCTGACCACAAACACCAGCGGTCCCAGAAAGCCACATATGAACCGAATGGCGTTTACCGTGACCTCGGCCGCGACTGAGCCATTGTAGTCCACGACACACTGCAGCTGGAAGGGGAAGGGTTCATGGTGCAGGTGGCGATAGGCAGCAGATGGCACAGTCAGCAGCAAAGCCAGCACCCAGGCTGTCCCCCGGGCCACCTGCACCCCACGGGCCCGCCGATCCATGGCCCACCAGGGGATGCTGAGGGACATCAGGCAGATGTCAGCGCTGAGAGCAGCCAGAAGCAGGACACTGGCGTACATGGACAGCAGGATGGCGGAGGGCAGCAGCCGACAGCCCACTGCCCCAAAGGGCCAGTGTCCCCTCCAGGCAACGGGCACTGCCAGGATGGGGAGAGCCAGGCAGCACAGCAGGTCAGCCACCGCCAGGTGCAAGAACCACATGGCCCAGATCCTCTGGCCAGATTCCTTCCCGGTCACCCAGGCCACCATGGCATTGCCCGGCACCCCCAGCAGGAAGACAGCAGCGTACAGAAGGAGCGGGGCCACACGGAGGGTGTCCATGGAGAGGCAGGCACCATCTGGACAGTCCACAGGGACATCTGGGAGGTCACTGTAGTCCCCATACTCATAGCTGAGAGAGTCGTTCTCCATCTCACCTGGACAAGACAGGATGAAAAGTCAGTGGACAGCAGGCGCCGGTGGCTCACACCTATAATCCCAGCTACTCAGGAGGCAGAGATGAGGAGGATGGCAGTTCGAAGCCAGCCCCAGCAAATAGTTCTCAAGACCCTATCTCGAAAAACTCATCACAAAAAAGGACTGGTGGAGTGGCTTAAGGTGTGTAGGCCCTGAGTTCAAACCCCAGTACCACAAAAAAGGAAAAGAAATAAAGAGTTAAAGCAAGCACAAAGTTTATTGAAAGGACAGCAGAGCTCCCTGACGGGTGGGACTTAGTGAAGGAGCTAAGCCAAAGGAAGGCTGAAGTCTAAGGGGTAATATAGGGCTCTGCCTGACACAGGCTCCCCTATTCTACTTTGAAGCTGAAGCTATAATTGGCTGTCTAATTAACTTCTGCCTCCTCATCCCCATCCTTATCAGACTGGATATGCCAGGATGGTCTTGTTTGTCCACCTTGTCCTTGAGCCTGTCACATACGTTTTATGACTACCTCTTGTTATCTTGGTGAGATCCACCATTTTTTATGTTTATAACCCCCTTCTGCAATCTTGGGAAAGTTTGCCGTGTTATCTTCCTTAAGGGCTCTGCATTTCATCTCTTTAGACGTTTGTTTTTAAAGATGCCTTCCCATCTCCCTCATCTAGGAGAGAGACCTCTGCCTTATTATCTGCGTGAAAAGCACGCTCCTCACTCTCCTTAGCTGTTTGCTTTCAAGGATGCCTTCCTTGGGCCTTTATCTAAGACAGAGTTACTTCTGCCATCTGTTCCCTTCACCTCCTCAGAACCATTTCTGCCTCACTGCTCCTCTCACACTGGGATTTGAACGCAGGGCCTTGTGCTTGCAAGGCAGGTGCTCTACCCCTTGAGCTACACCCGCAGCCCTTTCTGCTTTAGTTATTTTTCACATAGTCTCCACTATTGCCTGGAGACTGGCAGTGGACCTCAGTCCTCCTACCCATGCCTCCGAGTAGCTGGGATTACAGGCATAGACCACCATGCCCAGCTGATTGGTTGAAATGGAGGGAAGGAGGAGGTCTCAATAAATTTTTCCCCAGGCTGGCTTTGAACTATGACCCTCCTACCTCCAACTCCCAAGTAGCTGGGATTACAGGTATCAGCCACCACACCCAACCCTTTAATTTTTTGCCATGCTGGGGATGAACCCAGAGCCTTGCACACAGGCAAGACTCAGCCACTGAGCCACACCCCAGCCACACAGCTTGGAGTTCTAGAATATTACAGTCTCAGAACTCAAGCATGTCAGAATATTGGATTTCTAGAATACTAAACAGCATCAGACCCAACATGTGAGGCTGTTGCGATTCTAGAATGCTAGTGTGTCAGAGCACTAGTGCCTTCACATCTTAGAAGTGTGCAAAGTTATCACATTAGAACCCTAACATGATTCAGATCGTGGCAGGCCAGGCATTATAGGGCATGACTATAATCCCAGCACTCGGGAGGCTGAGGCCAGAGGATCATAAGTTTGAGGCCAGCCTGGGCCACAGAATGAGATAATGTTTCAAAAATATGTATACATGGGAATTCCAAACCTTTAAACTATTGGAACCCTGGTCAATTATCATTTGGAGTGGAGTACAGCACAGCAATGGAACTTTCAACATGGACGCCATGGTCTGTATCTGGGTTACCAAACATGCTACAGCTCCCAGAAAAGAAAGAGAGAGGGAGGAGGAGGGAGGAGGGAGGAGGGAGGAGGAGGGAGGGAAGGAAGCTGGGCAAGGTGGCTCACGCCTGTAATCCTAGCTACTTGGGAGGCTGATTCCTACTTGGGAAGGATTGACTCCAGCAGGGCAAACAGTTCTAGAGACCCCATCTCTAAAATAACCAGAGCAAAATGGACTGGAGCTGTGACTCAAGCCACACCTGCTTTGCAAGAGCAAAGCCCTGAGTTCAAACCCCGTCCCACCAAAAAAAAAAAAAAAAGAAGAAAGAGATCAGGGGCCTGGTCATTGCAGAGCCAGGTGGAGCACCGTGAGCTTCATCTTTTATTCTTCGTGCGATGGGAGGCACGGGAGGGACTGAACAGACAGGTGACATCATCCACCAGTGATAAGAATAAAATTTCTTGGTTTTAGATTTTGTTCTCATTTACGGCTTTGTGTTATGTGCCTGCATCCAGCTGCTTTAAACACTGTGTGGCCTTAGCTTCCTACCAGCACTCCGATTCTGACTCCATGTTGTGAAACCCATTCTGCAGATGGAGACACTGAGGCACAGAGAAGGTAAGTCACTTACCTAAGACCTCTCAGCTAACTGGAGGGCAGAGCTGAGTTTCAGCAGCCTTAGTCTCATGGCGGAGCCCAAGCCCTGGAAGTGTCAGCCCAAATCTGAGTCGGCGACCCTCGGTGGCAGCCGTGGCTGGCTGTCCTGGTTTCTTCCTCTGAGGAATGACTCATGGATGTGGACCCACCTCACCGGCCTGGCAGGACTTGAGGAGCACCATGCTTTGGGTTCCCTCCCCTCAGCCCCGTGACAAGGATCTGACACCCTCTGCTGACTGCTGTGGGTTGGCGGGCACAGCCCCAAGTCAGCAGATGTTGACGCAAGAGGAAGGACAGGGAGGAAGTTGGGACAGTCTTCACCCTGCCAGGTTAACAACAAAAATGCCAAGCCACTTTTTTTTTTTCCTGTGGTACTGGGGATTGAATCCAGGGACTTGTGTTTGTGAGCCAGGCTCAATCCCCAAGCCACTTTCTTTTTTTGAGTTTGGAGTTTGGGATTCTGAGATCCTCTTGTTTTCACTCCCAGAGTAAAATGTGTGCAGATTTTAAACCTCAAACCCTCACCAGCTGTGTGACCTTTGGCAAGTTGCTTAACCGCTCTGTGCTTCATTTTCCACGTCTTTAAAAGGGAAAAAGAATGTACCTACCCTGGAGGATGTTTTCGAACTCAGTGTGCTAAATGAATGTGCTGGGGAGGGGAGGGCTGAGCACAGCACTGGGCCATGACGGCGTGACACAGGAGTTAGCAGTTGGTTATCATCAACCACATGTCCATCCTCCTCCCCTCTTGGACTCCACCCTGTCCAGCTCTTGCTGATTACAGTCCAGGAAACTTTCTCTCCTTTTTTTTTACTTTGTGGTGGGACTGGGGTTTGAACTCAGGGCTTCTCTCTTGCAAAGCAGGTGCTCTACCACTTGAGCCACTCCTCCAGGCCATTTTGCTCTGGTTATTTTGGAGATGGGGGTCCCATGAACTATTTGCCCAGGCTGGCCTTGAACTGTAATCCTCCTGATATCAGCCTCCCAAGTAGGTAGGATGATAGGCGTGAGCACCAATGCCCGGCACCATGTAATGTGTCTTCAGTCTTTCCCCATCTATCTTGACACGTCATAGGAGCCTCAAAATCAGTCCACGCTTGTGCCATGCTTATTATCCAGCCTTGGACGACTGCTTAATAACGATGCTGGTGCAGCACTCACGCCTGTAATCCCAGCTACTTGGGAGACTGAGATCGGGAGGATCAAGGTTCGAGGCCAGCCCAGGCAAATAATTCATGAGACCCCCATGTCCAAAATAACCAGAGTAAAATGGACTGGAGGTGTAGCAGTCCAGTAGTAGAGCACCTGCCTTGCAAGTGCAAAGCCCTAAGTTCAAGCCCCAGTCCCATCAAACAAATTTTAAAATCCATAAATAAATAAACTATAATAAGGAGCATCAGGACAAGCGTTGTTATCTTATTATTTTTACACTCAATACTTTATATGTGCATGCTTTTGTACTCTATATAAGCGTATATCCCTAGCTAGAATACAATTCTCACTTTCAGTAATTAAAATAACTGACAATTACTGTGCACCTATTTTGTGCCAGAATTAACCATTTTTACCAGGTGCACCTGTAATCTCGATACTCAAGAGGCTGAGGCAGGAGGATCTCAAGTTCAAGGCCTGCCTGGGCTGCTTAGCAAGACCCTGTTAAAAAAAAGAAAAAGCCAGGTGTGGGTGGCTCCCGCCTGTAATCGTAGCTACTCAGGAGGCAGACATCAGAAGGATCGTGCTCAAAGCCAGCCCAGACAAATAGTTCATGAGACCCTATCTGAAAAAACCCTTCACAAAAAAAGGCTGGTGGAGTGGCTCAAGGTGAAGGCCCTGAGTTCAAATCCCAGTACTAAAGAAAGAGAGAGGGAGGGAGGGAAGGAAGGAGGAAAAGAAGGAAGGAAGGAGGGAGGGAGGGAACAAAGGAAAAGAGAGGAAGGGAAAACCATGTTTGTAACAATCCTAGGTGGGAAAGAACTGTCTCCATATCAGGAAGCACAACCCCCCTGCTCTGGGCCTGTGGGGGAGAATCCCCGAAAGCCACACCAGGATTCCTCCCACCGCCATCTGCCCTGTCCCCCACCTGGAAAAGGGCACACAGGTTCTCTAAAAGTCTTGTCTGAAGGCTGAGGCTGTGGCTCAGCCTGCCTAGCACGCGAGGGCCCTGGACTCCATCCCCAGCACCGTCAGGAAAGGCACCTAGAATGTTCCCAGCAGATAAGGAAACCCTGTCACAATTCACCTCCAGCAGTGTGCAGTGTTCACACAGCTGAGTCGTCTACAAGAAGGGGAAGGAATGAATCACGCTCAGGAATGTTGATGGACTCCATGACACCATGTTGAGGAAAGGAAGCCAGACACAGACACACGGGCCGGGGTGGGGAGGTGGGGTGACTGAGTGTTTCCATTCTTAGAAAATTCTGAACAGGCAAAGGAGAAAGTGCAGTGGTGCACGCCTGTAGTCCCAATTCAGGAGGCTGAGGCAGGAGGATCACTTGAGCCCTGGTGTTCGAGGCCAGCCTGGACTACATAGCGAGACCCAGCTCAGAAACAAGCAAATAAGAAAAAGCCAGGCATAGTGGTGCATGCCTGTAATCCCAGGATTCAGGAGACTAAGGAAGGAGGATTGAGAGTTGTAGGCCTGGGCTACATAGTGAGATCCTGTCTCAGAAAGGAGGGAAGGAGGGAGGGAGGGAAGGCGGGAAGGAGAAAAAACCCTGTAATCTCAGCTACTCAGGAGGCAAAGATCAAAAGGATCACAGTTCAAGACCATAAAGTTAGCAAGACCCCATCTCAACAAATAAGCTTAGCATGGTGCACCTGTCATCCCAGCTACTTGGGAGACCATAGGTAGGAGGATCAAGGTCCAAGCCAGCTCATCTGAAAAATCACTAAAGCAAAAAGGGCTGGTGGAGTGACTCAAGTGGTAGAGCACCTGCCTAGGAAGTGCAAAGCACTGAGTTCAAATCCCAGCACCACACACACACACACAAAAAGACAAAGGACTCTGGCTTGGAAGGCAGCTGCCCTTGGGGTACCTGGGGGCAATGCTGGGTGTTAGGTCCCTGGCATTCTTGGGGTGGGCAGAAGGACCCAAGGCTACACCTTAAAACCAGACCCCCTGATTTATGACCACTTGTTTCTCCCTGCCTGATTGTTTCTCGGCTTGCAAAACAACTCAGGAACTTCCACTTATTCAACTAGCCAGGCATGTCGACCTGTTCCATCTGGTGATCACAGATAATCAGAGACCAGATTCTCCCTCCCCCATGGCTTGGCCCCTCCTATAAAGCCCACTACCCAATTCAGCCAAGCCGCCTCACTCTGAACCCCAGAGTGACGGCCCTGCGGTCTGGACCAATAAACCTTTCCTTTCCACACGTGGCGTGGTCTTTTTTCGGCAGTACCTTACACTGGGTACCTGGATGCTGTCACCTTACGAAGAGCCACAGTCGCCCAGCTCTGACGTGACATGTGCCAAAGGGCCAGCTGCCCTTTGGGGATTTACCACCAGCTGCAGGAACTCCTGCAGGTCTGACACTGTCCCCCATACACTGCATGTGACAAAACGCTTGCCTGCTTTCCCAGGAGTGTACTGTGGGGTGACCTGAGTGAACTCCAGGAGTCTGGGCCTCTGACAGGAGTTCCAGCCCGGTGGTGGTGTTCCTCACACCTGGAATTCTCGCTCTGATTCCCAGATTCCAACAGAGGCCGAGACCAGCAAACTTCTCCCTCCTCCCAGACTCCCTCATCCTTACCGTCTCTCTGAGAAGGTCCCCAATTTGACCAATCTGAGTCCGCAGGCAGGACCCAGGAGGTCCCCGAAGTGCACCGGATTCCCTGGGACCTGCCACCTCACAGCCCAGCAAACGTCTACAATCAGGAAAAGCAGGAGTGGCCTCTCCCCAGCCCCAGGGCATGTTTGTCCTGTGGTCCTCCCATGACTCACAGATCCCAAAGTGACACAGCCAAGGTAAAGCAGGATAGAGCTGACCCACATCCCAGCCCTCACCTCCTTGTTGCCGGTTTCCTGAAAATCAGACTTGTGGGTGGTTTAATTTCAATGTCTGGAGGTCTGGGCCTGGATTCAGACTCCCCACAATGTCCCCTGAGATCCTGTGACAAGTTCCAAGTGCCCCCTGCCCCCTCCCAGGCTCCAACTGGGAGCTGGGCCCCTCCTGTCTGCAATCTGCAGACAGGTAAACACTCTTCTTCCTCACATTTTCCAAGGATGATGGTTCAGGATCACGCCCTGCTCAGAAAGGTCAAAGGCCGGCGCTGGAGGCTCACATCTGTAATCCCAGCTACTCAGGAGTAGAGATCAGGAGGATCGAGGTTCAAAGCCAGCCTGGGGAAATAGTCCTAGAGACCCTATCTCAAAAAAAAACTTCACAAGGGCTGGCAGAGTGGCTCAAGGTGTAACCCCTGAGTTCAAGAAAAGAAAAGGTCAGTCAAGCATAGGGCTGAAGTTTCTGTGGTAAGCAAAACACAAGTTCTATCACCTTCTGGGTCTCAATTTTCCACCAGGAGAACAAGGCCAAGTTGACCATAGCAGTTCTTAACCTCCTCTCCAAGTTCACAGAGGCTGAGAACGAGCCTCGAGCCTCTATTTTCCTGTCTGTGAAGTGGACAATCTTGAGTATTAAGTAGGTGACTCAATTTAAAATGCACACAACATAGCCAGGCATGGTAGGGCACGTCTGTAATGCCAGCACTCAGAAGGCTGAGGCAGGAGGATGGAGAGTTGGAGGCCAGCCTGGGCTGCATAGCAAGACCTTATCTCAAAACAAAACAAAATAAATATTGAGACAATTCTAGAAGGTGGTTGACTTAACTCATATGAAATTACCATTTTTGTTGGGGGGATGAGGAGCTACCAGCTGAATATGAGGCTTCCTTTTGGGGTGGCGAAATGTTCTAGAACTAGAAACAGTTTCACAACATGGTGAGTTCACTACGTGCCACTAACACCAGTGGCGTGGTGTGTGACCTCTACCACAGCTGGGGGGGTCTGGCTACATAGCCCAGCCTGGCCTCTGGGATCTCTGATTTTCCTGCCTCAGCCTCCCGAGTAGCTGGGACTACAGGCGTGTACAGTGGCTCCTGACTCCACAATTTTTCAAAAGCAATAGATAGTATTAAAATCCTCCTCACCCCGAAATAGGCAGAATCTTGGCTATTTCATAGGGCTCAACCTGATGGAGCCTCACACAGTGAGTGGCTTCAATAGGGAGTCATAGTCT